TGCTTGATACCTTTTTTTTTTTTTTTTTTTTTTTTAAGAATATCTTCCAGGTACCACTGGCTTTTATATTCCAACTTGGAAATGGCACCTACAGACTACATCATATTCACACACCAGTTGGAGGAGAGGGCACAGCAGATGGGTCCATTGCTCATCACAACGTCCACTTGTTCTAAAGGGGAAAGCGGGGGCCTCAGACAGCATGTCTTAAGTTGTGTAATAGGCTTTTAGTGTCACAAATGAAAGTCACACGTTCATTTTTTTTTCTCAGGTTGTTTGTTTTTCTCTTCTTTTTTTTTGGTCGGGGGACTAAAAGATTTGTTCACACAGCTCAACATCACAGTGGATAAAAATGGAGGATAAGTGAATTGTGTAACATAAACCAACATGATCTTATAGAGGAACAGAATGCATGCAAAAACTTCACAATTCATCACTTTTGGTGATATTGAACAGTATTGATGACTACTGTCTCACTCTGTAATCTGTCAGCCGATTACCATGGCAGCTGGCATGCAGTTTTTTCTTCTTCTTCCAGTTATAAAATCACAGTCTGTGTTATTTGCCTCTATAAGTTTGAGTTGAATTTTACATTGACAGCTGTCTTCCTTTTTATGATCACTTTGTTTCCAAGTGTGAAAAATCCTCCAGTTCTGCTGTGTTTTAACAAAGCACCTATTTCATTCTTGCCCCACTATACGACTGAGCCATCACTTCATATTACAGGTCAACGTTACGGTGCTTAATTATGTGCCGGCTGCTTGGGGCTCCTAATAACCTGTCATTGAGGGGAATTTGAATGTCACACCATATTGTTGGGCCCTAATGGCAGCAGGCAGATCCACTGATGAGCCGTTTTGGGACAATTACAGCGGATATTCAAATCACAGGTCTGGGTGTGTGGTGGACTGCACCGCGCGCAACCTGACAGGGAACGACGTGCACGCACGCACGCACGCACACACTTGTTGTATCTTGACCCTGCAAGCCCATCTCTCTTGACACATAAAGAAGAAGATGCCTCCCACCCCCCTAGCTGCTGCTGAAACAGTTTAACTGTAGCCTGATCGCTTTTATTATCCGCCTAATCCAGATATCAGCGATTTCATCAAGCCGGGAAGATATGCATATCATGAATTATTTTGACACTGGGACCTTTTAATTTTCGCCGGCAATATTTCATCCCACCAATCAGTGCCTGGAGTGGTTGTCGGACGTGGCGGTGTCAGAGGACGAGACTCCCCCCGGCGGATCCAAATCATCCGGGGGACAATAATGAGCTATGGCCACAATTATGAGCTGCCTGTGTGTGCATGCATATCATCAAGGGCCCCATGCAAGCTGCTGCAGGAGGAGGCACACGCACAGAGATACACAATGTGAGACATACATATCAGAGATTTTACTACACATTTGCCTATTGCACTTTTTGCTGCTCTACATTCCCTTGACACCTGCAGTAACTTTACTTTAGATGGAGGAAAGTAACTGAGTACAAGTTCGAGTTACTTGGATTTTACCTGAGTTCTTTATCTTATATTGCTGCTCTGCAACACTATACATTTCAGATGGAAATATTGTAGCTACTCTACTACATTTATTACACAGCTATAGTTAGTTACTTGCTACTTTTTGGATACGAAATTGAATGTTTTTATACAATTCTTTACATTATTATAAAATTTGCTACTTTAGGTTATGTGAAATTCATAAAATTAAGTTTCATGTCGACCATTACAACATTAAAATGCTACACATTAATGCATTATGCATAAAACTAAACTATTATAATATATACTCTGACAGTAGCCAATCTCCCCCTTAATGAATAGTTCTACTTATGATACTTAAACTATATTTTTCAGATACTTTTCTGCTGTCAGTCTGCGTCTTTCTTCAATTACTGTATTGTGTATTTTATTTAGTTACAAGACACATGATCAGCTTACAAAATGAGATCCATTGTTATAGGTTATACAACCAACAGTGGTTAAAACTCACCTTGACCAGCTGCAACATGTATCAGTAATATTAACCCAATATTATAATATGTAATACTGACAGGAACCATTGAGAGCATTATGAGTACTACTATATTTGAGTAGTACTTTTTAGTACTTTTACTTTATGTACATTTTCAAGGCATAACTTTTTCTTGTAATGGAAAATATTTACATTGTGATGCTGAATACCTAAGTCACTCTTCATAGAGGAATAATAGGCTACAACTCCTGTTTTTTATTAATAGTTAACTGTTTTACTAATGCTTTATAAATCAGTTACAACAACAACTTTTTGGTTTTTTTTTCTTTTAATAAATAAAAAAAAAAAAAAAAAAAAAATAAAGGACTGGACCAAGTCTTTTGCCTTTTTTTAATGACATAGCCTACTAACATTTATAACTGCAGACTTAATGAGCTGTTAGAAGGTGAGAAAGCAATGAGCATTTATCAATGGTTAACACACATAACTATATAATTACCAACTAAATACAAGCCAATAAGATTTTCATCTAACCCAAAATGTGTTCTTACTGGCTTATAACCGATGTATAAAAAGTAGTAAACATTTATTAACCACTGATATAACCATTAGACTTTATAAAGGGTGCTTCTTCCACTATGGAGACAAATAAAAATGCCATCACACTTAAACTCGTTTCATGCCAAAAAAGACTTCCAGACTCAGCAACCACCATCACTTAACATTTGTGTTCCCTTACACACTCACACCGGCCACATATAAAATCATAAGGACGCGTTATATTCCGCCATGTCTGTCTGTGATATGTGCACTGTGTAACTTAATACTTTGTGTCTTTACCCAGCTCCCTGTGGATCGGGTATTACGCGAGCAAATTGGATGCTCAAACAGTCAGTCCGTGACCTTCCCTCATCCTGGATGTTGACCCCCGTATAAAGAGAGACATTACATCTCGTTACACAACAACACGGCTCCGGCGCTTCGCTCCAGATAAAGAAAAATGTCTCAATTAAATCTTCACCGGGGCCCCCCTGCGTAAGAGTTATCGCCGCCCCGGTAACGCTGATCGCTACACTCACACATCCTCAAAAGTTATTTGACATAAATTGCCGGAGTCACATCATTTCCTGCCACACTCTGAGCGGGATTTACGGCTGATCCCATTGACTGGGAGCTGAACCTCCAATAAAATTCCTCAAGAGCCCATGGGGCCGTGAGACGCACCTATCTACCCTCCATCAGGCCCTCCCCTCCCCTCCCCCTGCTCGCAGATTAACCATGCAAATACGCACAGGTGGGAGGGTGATACCGACAACACATTTATGTACATATATGCAACTGGGCTGATATGGCGGGGGGGGGATGAGGACTGAGGACTGTGCACAAGACAGGCTGATTGTGTTTTATCTGATGGGTGGAGGGATGAAATGGCAAGGTGGCCTCTCCACAGAACTCAAGGAGTGAAAGTGAAATTATCCGTGGCTTTAATTTGAAAATGAGAGGTGAGGGCCACTGTTATGTTCTCTGGAGGATATCCCCCTTATGTGCAAAAAAAAAAAAACTTGTGAGGAGTAATGTCATTATAAGGTAGCATATGAACCCTTGAGGAAAATCGTTTAAAACTGAAAATTGCTTTTCACATTAGTGCTCAGGCATAGTGGAGAAAGGTGCACACTATATTAACAGTTAAAAACAACCTTATGGCTGCATTAGTCTGTAGATATTACAGTCCGAGGTGAGCAAAGCATGTTAATGGTTGTGTGTGTGTGCTAATGGTCATGGCGATTCTTGCTCAAGCTCAAACTGACCAGATGGAAATGCAGTTTCAGCATGGCTCGGGACGGTGTTGGGAATCTTAGTTCATCTAATTACAAACAAATGTTTTCATCATCTGTTTTTAGGCTTACTGTCTCTCTCTAGTGGTGATAGATGAGAAGCCTGAGCTTAGAGGCCTCACAGGCCTCTTTTACTAGAAATCACACACATGCACATATTTGGTCGCTGTGAATGGTTGGTATTTATACACGCTCGCTGTGGTACTGCAAAGACACATGGGAGTCATTTTTAGATTTCGGTAACATTATCTATTGTACATGAACGCAGCAGGAAGCCTTGTGATGTAGAGTATCACATTGTCTTTAAATTCAGGAGATAAAATGCGGGGCGTGAAAAACTTAAGCCAAAATGGAGACGAAAATGAAAATTTGAGCATTTAAAATTGCCATCTCCATATGCTGAAGGAAATCATGTGATATGACCCAAAAGCTCTAGAGCTGCTACTAAAAGGACCTTGAGGTGAGATTATATTGTCAAAAAGATTGCAATGCTGGTTTCTTACGCAGCTCTACTGAACAAATTACATCCACTTGAAATAAAGACCTTCCTGAAAACACTATAATTTTGATTGTGATGCAACTTAAGTTTACTTTGCTGTCTTTTGTTTTACTTTGGAGAATTTAAAATGAGGATTTTTCCAGTGTAAATGGTTCATTTTAAAATGGCCTGAGCGGATTAAAAATTGTGTCAGAATTGTCATAAAAGATGCTCTCCAGTCACCTTCCATCCAGATGATACAGCGAGGCAGAGAAGGCCTCCCCTCCAGATTGGCACAGCGTTTCATTGGAGGCTCAGCAGCAGCAGCAGCAGCAGCAGCAGCAGCATCAGCAGCAGCATCAGCAGTGGCTCCAGGGCTTCCAGCTGGGGCTGGCTGCTGCCTCTGCCTGCCTACCAGCACAGAGACTGGGGGAGATGGTGGGCAGGCCACTGGATTGCCCTAGGGCACCTCACTTATGCACCAGTAAAGAAAACTGAATTTCTCCCCATCTCTCTCACTCTCTGCTAAGAATGTTTGCTGCCTTCAGCAATTTGATTTGACAAAGTAAGGTCTGGAGCGCTGGTGTGACCACTGCAAATGGCATGAAGAGTATCATGAGAGTATAATACTGAGAAATGATAGGCCAAGACTATCTTATCATATTCAGTATAACCAGCCACAAAAATAAAAAAGCACAAGACAATTTTTGATTTTAAGTTTATCATCATTTGCATTAACAGTGTATGGGAATCTACAGTTTTAAGATCTGCATTAGATTATATTACATTTGATGACAGACACGTGAAGTCTATACACGTGAAGTCACTTTTTGAGTTTGTGGGTTTTTGTCAACCTTACAGATGTGGTTAATCTAACAGTTAAGGGAAATTTACACTTTGATCAACACATAAGGACAGTTCTAAGAAACAATGTTCAAGTATTTCTTTGCAGTATGAGCTGAGACACCAAATATTAAAAATAAAAATTACATTAATGCAATTTAAGAGATTAATTCTGTGCAAAAATGGACCAAAAAAGAAGAAATGTTAATACTGATGATGCTAACTTTTAACTAATACCATTTATGCAAAAACATTATTTTTTAAAGGATGATGGCGATCTATGATCACTACATTTAATGCAAAAGATATTATTGCTTTTCCAGAGAAGGGCCACCATCAATTCAGGTTATTCAGGTCACTCTGTGTCGTTCTTCTATCTGTTTGACCTCAACCAACTGTGACATCTATGCACAATATAAGTCGCCTGGTCAGCATTGTATATAATAATTTCTAATGACACTCACACAAGTCAGAGGAGATAATGATGAAACCTGGTGTGAGTCATGGGGTTGTAAGGACTAAAGAAAAAGGAGAAAACTCACTCAGAGTGTTAGCATTAGCCGTTACAACCTCTTATCCCATTTTGTGACAGTAAAAATGCAAATCAGTACAAACAAAAACAAAACAAAATTTTCCTTCACATGTAAGGTCTGAGATTGTAGGGAATCAGGCACCATTTACAAAATGTACATAACCACACCCTTGTTCCAGTACACCACTACTGCTCATATGACAGCATTAGTGAGTCCTCTGTATGTGCGTGTGTGTGTGAGCGTGCACCAACATGATCTTTGCTTTAAGGACACTGCTGGCTAAACTGAAACTCAAACTGAACAGGTGGGAAGCTACAATGCTGTACAAATGTCAGTGGGTGGGTTCAGGTAACACGGGGGAAGTATTTGTCAGGCAGGCAGCTAACATGTTTGTCTTCACCATGCGGATCTTGGGTTTCACTAAAACTACAGAGGACTATGATGCCGATGTGAGATAGACGGCTGAAAGCAGAGGTAGCCTAAAGTCTGTGCAAATAACACGAGGAGCTGTCAGTCAATTCGCCGCCACCACAGAACTCATATTTGATTTTCCATCAGAGTAGTCCTCATTTGTTACAGAAACAACTACACTCAGTGAGGGGTGTTATATTAATCAGCCAACTAGCTAATTGGTTCTTCTTTTTGAATGCAGCAAACTAATGCATGTGAACCAGTGGCTGAATAGGCTGCGGGCCTCTTGCTGGTATCTAAGTTTACTATGTCTACTGAGGTGACGCCCCTCTGTGAACTAAAAGCTGGGGGAGGCAAAGCGGTTGCTGCTAAGGGCCGCCTGCAAAGCACAAACATTACATCCGACTTGCTCTGAGCTCTCAAATTGTTTGAATGAATTATGAAAAAATAATATTAAAGTATAAATGTCGAAAAGGCACACACAATAATTACAGGTCTAGGCATCAGATAAGATTGGCACAAAAGACTCATGCTAATAAAACTGTAAGAAGGAAAAATAATTAAATAAAATCGGCTTAATTTGGAAATTAAAGAATGAAAAATATGAAAAATGTATATAGTAAAAGGACAATGATTGAGAATAGACACCGGGAGGAAAGCAACCAAAAATCATGCACAAAAATAGGAACTCCCAATTTTCTACGTATTCAAAATCAGCCTTGGGGCAATTAAATGCGCCTGCCACATGTCAACTGTCAACGCAGCGATACACATTTCCAGAATGTTATTTGGTTTTCGGCTGATTCAAAGTCCTCTGGCTATGCCTTGTGAGATATACATATGCAGCTAATATATAGTTGTGCACATACAGCCAGTAGTGGGATTTGTAGCTCAATATATACACAAGTTTTAGTTATTGCAGGTTCCACTTGGCAGTCCAGCACTTGTTGCACACACGTGGCCGGGTTCTGTGCGCTTTGCAGAGGGGGAGTCTAGACTAGTGTAGGGCCGTGAGGCAGGGCTTTGTCCGGGGCAAGGCCAAGGCTGCAGCTGGATGGTAGGGAAAACAGGGAGCAGAGAGGGGGAACACAGGAAGTGGTCACCAGTAAAAGGAGCGTGTCAGGAAGTTGGCGGCCGTGCTGAGCCAGCCCATGCCGTCTGTGATGGAGCCTACGCGTGTGACGGCCTTGTCCGGCTCCTGGGACGGACTCTCCTCCTCGGGCAGGTAGTCTGGGATGTCCGTGTTCTCCTCCACGGGCACCGCCGAGTCCTCCTGGAATGGCACCATCCGCTGTACAAAGACAGAGGAGAAATATTTACTTAAAAATGAACAAAGAATAAATTAACAGCAAAGATAATAATTTGTTTGCGTGATCACAAAGCAGGCAATGAAGCAGAATGTATTCCAACATTAACATAAAGCTCAGTTTTTCAACTAGAGATCATCTGGAGTCAGATTACATGACTGAGCCAGGTCTGACCCCTGCTGGCCACATTGTATATGACTATTAATGTAACCATCACCATTTATTATCAATTATTTGAGCAACAATAACTAGAATTATTTGCAGATTATTGGAAAACAAACACTTTGGAATTTCATATTTTGTTAAAACGTAGCAGTTTCACTATACAGTTTGGACATGAGCTCCAAATTGGGAATGCACTGCTGTAAATGGTGCAACTAGAACTGGTTATGTGTTTGGCAAAAAGCAACTAGCCTACAGGCTGAGGCAGAGATGTGACTAGCTAATCATGTCAGTGTGACTAAGTCTCAGCCACAGGCAAGGTTGGCTACACTCACTGTACAGAGATACACACGACATACAGTCATCTATCAGCTGACTCGTTTTAAGTGTCTTATGTGCAGCCATTTACAGTAAACAATACCGATCTTACAGTTCTCACATAGCGCTGTCTCTCATCTGTCCTTACCTCTCCTCCGTCGTCTGTCTTCACCACCTGTTGAGCCGTCATTACTTTGGTGGAGTTGATTGCTGTGCCCAACGCCTGTGAGGGAAAAACAAAAACCCACACCTTTGTTTTAATTTGTGATGGTTTATATTTCTGTCATCAGCTCAAACAATAGTAGAATACTTTTGGTAAAATAAATGTTTGCACTAAATACTGCAGTTAATCTCTCTCAACAATGGCAACGCTGCTCTCAACGCAGGTTGGCTATATATTAGTCAGCTTTGAGCTATTTTTGTTTTCAATACCAAGACCAATATCAAAGTTACGCTCTAGACACCCAACCGATTGGATACAGTGTATGTATAATATGTTAAGAGTGCATTTCCATCCATTTTAGGCAAACCATGCTATTTCTGATGACAATTACTTTTTTTAAAATATCAATAATAAAGTTCATCTACAACTTTTTGTTGTTAAAACTCTAAAAACAATCTTTACAATTCCACTTTAATATAGTCAAAAACAGGCAACAGTGTGCAGATACATAAGTTACAGCAACATCTGCCCATCCATAGATTTTAAAATGTGTTTAGAAGGTTGAAAGTTGAAGTAAAATACATTAACTTTATCAGGTTTCCTGGATTGCAATCTTGGATGCATGTGGAAACAGAGTTTTGTTTGGTAATAAGTAAATAAATAAGACAGGTACTGATAAAGTGGTATTTGTTGTATAAATTGAAACTGGGACATGGTGAGATTTACTAATTTACAATTGTTATCAGAAAAATATTTTGTTTTCCTAAGTTCCTGGATGATGTTCTGCGTCCGGACGGACACTTACCTCAGCTTTAAGGTCAGAGCGGATCCTGACAACACACCTCTTGACAGCCATCTGGAAGGTGAAGCTGATGACCCCTCGAATCTTCAGCAACGCCTCCTCACAAAGGCTCCTTCGAGTCTGACAACAGACAGGAAACAGATGAAAGGTATGAGAAGATGTGCGAAACAAAAACATGTGGTGAATTAAGAAAAGACTGTAACTTTAAAAAGGTATATAAAGGCTTTAAGGTTATACTGTGTAAGATTGGAAATGTTGATGAGGCAGAATCAGCTACAGTTAAATTAGGTCAAATGTGGGACTAAAAAGATATTATAAAACATTAAGTAGCTACACACAACTTGCTACTGAGAAATACAATTTACATGACTATGGATTCCAGCTGCCACAGTGTTGTGTGATTCTGCTGTAGTGATAGCGATGCAGCCCACCAGAGGCCGTCTGTCTGCTGTAATGTAATCTGGCTAGGTGCAAGTGTCCCGCAGAGCAGCATTCAGGTTCAATCTCAACGTCCTGCTGTTCAATGGCTGACATTTACAACCTGACCCCTCCACCCCCCTATCCAGTGCCAGATAGACACTGCTAAGCTGCACTGACAACACTGTGATAACGACAGCAGGAAAACATGATGCCCCAAAAATGAGATTTATTTTTGCATCAAAGGACGTTTGGTGTGTCCGAGCACGACAGATGCGTATCAGTGAATCAAGTTGGGTCCAGAATGCCCTCTGTGAACACTTACAGGGTCATCCAGACCATCAATGTGCAGCACAACAGTTTTGGCCCTCTTGTTGTTGGAGCCGAGGAAGAAGTGGGCTTTACGCTGGCAGGAGGCAGCTGCTGCCTCGGCCTGCTCCGCCTCTTCTTTACCGGCTGACTGCAAAATCTCATAGATCTCAGAGGCCAGCAGTTTGGTCTCCCCGGGTGATGTACTCCTTTTTGCGAGGGAGAGTAAAAACAAGGGGAGAGAGGGAGACAATCGAGACAGAAAAATGACTTATGTTATTTAATTTGTCAAATGTGGTTAACGTACACAAAAGTGGTCAGTCAATCAAAAAGAGTTTAAATCATTTGTTGTGTTGGGGCAGTGTACATGTTAGTATATCTGTTGTGATACTAAAGGTGTAAAAGATTTGGCTGTAGGTAAATTAAACCATGTGCACTTTTAAATAACCATATTACTGTGCTAACACATTGCTGTTGAGAGGCAAGACAGAATTACCCATGCAGAGGCTAACAAAACATGATGCCTGAATGCCTCTGTGGGAGAGAAGTGTGAATCGTGCCTACAACTGGCATGAATTCATTAATCCCTCACTTTGTAAGCTCCAATGGATGCGGCGTGAATCTGACTACATCCTACCTGGTCTGACTGCGCAGAACTCAGCGGCTGCCACATGGGGCCACAGTGACAGACATGACACCACCTAACCTTTCAATAAATCAACAAATGCTGTCAAACTTTGAGTCGGTTTATCCCAATATATTCTGTACAACCGTTTAGTCTACAGAAAGACAACGCTGCAATCCGTCACACAACATTCAAACTTATGCTAATTAAGCCTATTCTGGTCTTCCATAGCAAGGCATAATATTTTTGTGTGCAGCAGCTTTCCTTCACAAGTCACATGAGGTCAGTTGCAGTTGCTGATATTTTGTGAGGGATCCTGAGATACCCCTGCAGGCTATACTGCTTCATATGTCATCAAGTCGTCACTCCTTGTATAGTAACCACATACGACATCAGCTGTCTGGCGTGGCTGCCCTCTGGGTGCGTGGTGCTCCCTGGCGCTGTACGACATATTCCGACTCCGGCTCTGGAAGGCTGTCAGCCCTTTGGGAAGCCATACACCCCCCCCCAACTGATTTATTTATCTATTCATCACTTTTATATAGACTTAATGTACTGAAGAAACAAAAATGGCATTCACACCTGTTTGGTGCAACTATGCTAGACGCTCCCCCCTCAGCCATGTGTTGCCACTCTGTCCAGCTATGATCGACCTCTACCCAAAGTCAAATCGACTGGACTGCGAGCGGGTAAAGCTGCTGCTGTTACTGCAGGGCTCCTTTTGATGCCACCCCTGACTAGCCGAAGTGACTGGCTTACTCCAGGGCGAGCAAGAGCATTGCCGCAGGATGAGAAGGGCCAGAAATCATACAAAGCTTTGGCCACTTGAACATAGGTCTATTCCTATCAGGGTGCTAATGATGAACAGCAGTCGCTTAGCAAAACTGCCTCAGACCCTCGGGTGAGACGCGCTATCTGGAGCACAACACCTCCTCGAACCAAAACTGCCTACAACACTGCATGGGTGTGTTCATCATGCTCTTTTGTTAATCATAATAAATTAATTATAGAATAACTTGTGTACAATACTTCTGCAGACGCCTACAAATACTACTAGACAAAAAAAACAACCACAAAGAAATAAGCTTAAAATATAGCACGTGTAAAATCAGCCACCTCAGCAAATCAACCTGCAAACTCCCCACCAAAACAAGAGCAAATATAAGCTCACATCAGTAAAAAAAACATGCAAGTGGACTCATCAAGACATTGTAGAGAGGTGGCAAGATGCATTAAAATCTATGACATGCAGAAACAGCAATTTAACTGTTTACTGTCCTACTTTAATTCAACTTTAATCACATTCATCCTGACACGGCAAATGGAAGGACGTCATCCTGCCTGGAAAAATTTGCAGACTGGCACACATTGTCCGTGCAAAACAAAAGAAATCCTAGGTTAAGGTTTTACGTAAAGAAAGTGCATAGTGAGCGTGTGTGTGTGTGTGTGTGTGTGTGTGTATATGTGAGAGAGATGCGGTGATGACAGGGACTTGCTTCTGCATGACATTCTGCAAACTCAGCATCATGCCAAGCTCGCCCTTCATCTTCTCCCTGTTGGCTCGACATTCTGCCAGGTAGCGCACGGCCTGCAAGGACAAGGGCAACCGTTATCTACCCAGTGCTAAAAAGCTGACAGACCCTTTGTGATATCAGAAGAGCGAGAGAGAGAGAGAGAGAGAGAGAGAGAGAGAGAGAGCTTTTAAAATGCATGAGCATGTTCAACGGTAAAACATTACATAACCAACATAAATACACATGCACTCACCCCGTGTTTACACTTCACGGGTTACAGTCATGAGCAACTGTTACATAAAACCACTTTATTCACAATTCAAATCATGTACTGTACAAAACGGGTGGTGGTGGTGGTGGAAGTGGGGAGAGGTTGCAATATCAAGGTGTTGTACTGTGTTTATATCACAAAACAGACAGCAGATGTCACCATTGTGTAGTGTTTCTAAATATGAAAGTTGTTTAAATGCCACCACGTGTCAGCTTGTGACGGTGACTGGGACACAGTGGTGGGAGAAATGGCCTTTAAATGGCCCTTTCACTGAAACCTGCTCTGACAATGCTGGACAGCAGGGGGGGACAGAATATGACTAGAGCACAAAACACCGGAATTACAGGAGCAGTAGGGAACTCAACTGATCATTCAACAAAGACACATTTAAGATAAACAGCTGCTGTAGATATTTCAACTAGAACATTTAGAAAAATGTATTTCTTTCTTTCAGTGGTGGTGCTGAATAATCAGCCCAGTGTGTAGGATTTAGTGGCATCTAGCAGTGCAGTTACAGAATGTAACTCCCAACTTTAAGTGCGATGGGGAAACTAGGGTGGTCATGAAATGCCCTTTCTAGAGCCAGTGTTTGGTTAGTTTGTTCAGCACTACAGTAGAAACATGGCGGCAGCATGACATGTATACTATATTCCATTTCTGTAAATAGCTCTTCCCAAATGTTACACCCTGGACCTTTAAACCTTATAGCTTACCTTCCTGCAACAGTATCGATCTGCGAGGTCAAGAGTCTTATATGCGAACACATAAATGGGGTAAATAAATGTAAATAAATGGACGCTGCTTACCAATAGTGCAGAATAGACGACCTGTGGGTTGGGGTGGTCCAAAAAAAGGATGAGACCTGGCAGACAGCCTTGGTCTTCTACTATGGCTCTTCGGTTCAGGGGATCAGCAGCAAGATCTCGCAGCTGGTTCACCACCGTCAGTGCATCCATCTCCGCACTCATGGTGCCTCTTGTCTTGATGTCACGCACATCAAACCAACCTCTTTGCTCTACTGGAAAAAGAGAAAAAGGTAAGTTCAATTAGGGAGCTTACATTATACAAATTAGGGTTGTGCCTGATTATTATTTCATAATTAATTAACCAGTAGATTTTCAGTCTGGATAACAAAATGTCAGAAAATTGGTATAAATGTCCATCGCAATTTCCCAAAGTTGAAGCTGACATCTTCAAATTGGTACACTGGTAGTCCAAAGATATTACATTTGTAATAATATAACAAGCTTTAACTTGTAGAACAACAAATCTCAAGAGATATTCTAGATATTAGTTTTCTTTCTCTTTACAAACTGGTGCAGAATAAGTGTCTGTGGCATTGCCCTAACTATTAAACTTTTAAAACTATCCCATAGCCACGTTTTACGGATATGTTGGAGATCCTGTGAGTTTATATAAGCAATAACCTCTGAAATGTGCTGCTACACAATCTGACTGATGAATGACTCTTGTAAACTTACTGATTTTACTGATATGCATTGATAAGATTGTAGTTATCACAAGAAAAAGAACAAATAGCTTAGCATGCTCTGGGGGGCAAATTTTAAAAATGATGTGATTTAAACCACACGATTTTCTACCAAAACAATCAAATATTTTATCAGAAAAGCGAAACACAAATCCTCGTTTTTGCCAAAGACACTTTCCACGACCCCCAACCTCACCTCAAATCACGCCCTGTGGGACAGAGGCGATTCAGCAGCTAGGCTAAGCTAAGCTATCTGACGTTACCTGACAATTGTAGCATACCTTTTTGACAGTTTCCAGTAAAACCATGAGACAATCCCGGCTGACTTCAGTAACAACACATACCAAAACCAGAGACTAACACGAAACAGCTAAGCTCCGGTGACACCTAAACAACAACTGTGACAGAATAATGTCACAAACGCAAGGCCTGCGCCTCTTTCTTTACTATGCTCCTTTAGCTAGCAGCTGTGCGGTGTTTGGGTTTTGTGGCACATCAATGGGTGCGGCTGTTTTGTGATTCGGGACCTCCCAGTTTTCCATAAAGATCCCAGCAGTTTGAACCGGACACAGCCCCGCCGGGGAGTGTTGGCGAGTATAACGAACACGCATACGGTTTCCTTGCTTATGATTGGATGGTGTGATTTTGATCGACAGATGTACGAGCCAATCGTCAGAGAGTTCTTGTTTAAAGCTCAAATCTGATTGGAGGATTGGCCTGTCAATCACAGTCACAACCTACCTATTGTAATCCGTGTAATCCCATTGGCTCAAAATGTGTTCCACGAATCTTCCCACATAAATCACCTCCTGCCCGCAGTGGATGTCCGTCCGGAGACAAGCTGCCCCCCCCCCAGCGTCAGTGTCGGTAAGTTGTAGTCAAAGTCACACACAAACCGATCTTTAGACAGGAATATAACATTTAAACGTGCGGTTGGGTATCACACGTACGGAGAAAGTAGATTTCGTGTATCCGGATAAATCTGCGTGCGGTTGTTAAGTTGGTTAAAAGTCGACTGGAGTTAGCTGTTAGCATCAGTTAGCACCGTTCTGCCCGCTAAAATAACATTAACCGGTTTAATTTAACCTAGAAAACCATTAGCGTGATAGCAGACAACATCTGTCTCACAACGACTCGCTTTTACTTCTCACACGTTTGTTTGTGTCCTTTTATTTAAGTTCAGAACTATTGAAACAAACAAACAGCTGTAAGAGGGTCAGTGGTTGTAGTGAACGGACAGAGGAGAAAGAGAAAGTACTTTATTAATCTCAGGGATAAATATGTTCTGTGTAACTTTTAAGAAGTATAATAAGTCACATATGTTGTTGACTATCCTTAAATACAGCTACCTAGCCTCCACTCTGCATCCTGCTGTGTATTTAGTGTCATTGCTAAGAAATATTTGTATATTATTCATGTAAATTTAATAATAATAACCTTATTTTACTGATATTATTCCAAAATTCCTTTATAAGCATCAATGATTATATTGGACTGTTCTTATGTATGTCACAGTATACATTGTAGAGGTCTAAAGCTCATTATTTGTTTTAAGTTTTGTGTTTTTAAAGGTGATTCAACCTCATTATTTCTCACTGTTGTTTTGTGCTTACTCCAGGTGACCGTTTGGTGATGATGCCCTTGGTGTTGGGGCATGTATCCATCTGCCCTCGTGAAACATATCAACAGAAATGAGTAAAGACGATGCACGGATCGAAATGGACCTGGTATGTGACAATGTCTGCCGTCTGAGTCAATAAGTGTCCACTAAATGTACAGTTTTCATACCTTTGTCTGGCTCTCATCTGGAAGTTTTCTCAGTTGCAAGATCTGTGAAGTACCAACCATCGAATAGTGAAATCTGCGTACTTGCGTATTCTGGACTTAATTAATAAATTAACTGCGATAAACAGTTTTCTTTAATTGGTGATTTAAATTTCGTGTTTCATATTTTGTTTTGCAGGCTTGTGGATCGGCCAAGCCCTATGGGTCCTCGAGAAGTATTGTGAGAAGAATAGCGACCAGTCTTCCTCTTAAACCCTGCCCCAGGGTTCATTTTCAGGTGAGGAAAGGTTACCAGGATCCTCATTTAATAGTGTGTTGTTGTATTTAATAGACTGACTGTTAAAAACATTTATTTAAGATAATGGCATGTTGTTACGTGCGATATAACCCTCCCTCCTTTTCTGTCTTTCTGCCCCTCTCTGCTGACTGTTCACACACCCAATCACAATCACACACCCTCTTCAGCTTTTGTTTACCTCTGCTTGTCTGACTGTTTACATTTATGAACCATAAACAGATGAAGTCATTATAACTGAGATTTTTTCTTATCATTAGGGCACTGACTGTATGTTCAGAAGTTTTTAAACTGTTAACAAATCAGTGTTTGAGATATTTTAATTCAGTGGCATGTAAAAAGTAACTTGACTTTTCTTTTTCCTTCAACACTGTGCTTTCTCTTTTTTCTTCCCTTCTTCTGTCTCCAGCTACCCTCCCTAACTATGAGGAATGCAGTATGTCTGCTGTAGGTCAGTTTGTTCAGAAACTGTCAACAACCTTGAGCTGATTTAAAGACCTACTGACCTATCTGAATCTTTCATTAACACCACTCATCTCCTTTCTCTGAACTGCCCTCATTTTTACTTAATTACATCTTCTGTTATTTGTTCAACTGCAATGTTGTGATGTGTCCTGGTGTGTGCTCTTCTCTGGCATAGTTCTATGAGTTTTATTTGTCTAGGTGTTGAATATGGCTGCTATCTCTCTGACAGCTTTATCCATACAATGAGGATGCTGGTATTCTGATCGGTACCAGGCGGCAGAACGGTTTGGTAGCCTCTCTGGCTGATATTGCCTGGATCGACAGGGAAGAGGAGGATGACGAAGACTTCTTTGGCAGACCCAGGTGAGAGCTCGACAGTGATCTTCTGGCGATATGCCGTTATATGTACGAGCATGTATTTGTTCATGTGAGGAGTGTCTGGAAAAAGGTGATTCTGTCTTATTTAAACAGGTCAGGAATCCCACCAGGACTCGTGTTTCGAACCCGCCAGCCTCATCTTCAGCAAAAATCCTTAACCCGCCAGAGGTCACTACCAAGCCTGCATGAGGGGCCTCCGGACCCCCAGGGGCCAACAGTCGCCAACGATGAGGCCATTCAGAAGATCAGCGCACTGGAGACAGAACTTGCGAAACTCAGAGCTCAGATAGCACAAATCGTTCTTGCTCAAGAAAAGAGCGCGCAGCCAGGTATCTCTTCCAAACATAGACGTACCTCTCTCCTAATGGAGGCATTTATTTTCATGTTTTTGCTCCACTGTAGTAACATACATTTTCCACTAGATGGCAGCAGAATTTCACATCTTACACATGATTTTTTTTTTCTTTCCTTTGTTTCATCCCAGCTGCTACCACAGGGACACCTCCCCCTCCACCCTCTGGCACCCTGCCTCCCCCTCCCCCCCCCCACCACCACCACCACCACCACCACCACCCCTACCCCTAAGTCTCCAGCGGACATTTTCTGCCATTGACTTGATAAAGGAGCGCAGAGGGAAGAAGACAGATGGCCAGACCCTTTTGGATTCAAAGCCAGCAGAATCCATCCCCAACATGCTTGACGTCCTGAAAGACATGAGCAAAGTCAAGTTGCGATCAGTTAAAAGGTGGGCCTCAACTTAAATGGTAAACTGATGAAAATGCATTCAGAAGTGATCAAATGTGGAGACTTTAGGTGTTTTTGAAAGTTTAATAGTTGTGTATCCCAGCTCAGAGTGAGGTCTTGTCTCTGTATTCTCTGCATAACCACATATTAAACTCAAGTTGACACATCTTTGCCTTATTGCGTAGTCTATCATATCTGCATGCACCTTCTAATAAATAGAATATGTTATCACTCTTGTTTGTTTTCGCAGTCGTCCAGTAGACGGTGACGCCAAATTGAAGTCCAATGAGCCGGCGGATGCTGCAACTCTCATCGCCGAGGCCCTGAAACGCAAGTTTGCCCATCGTTATCGACACGACAGTGAACGAGAGGACAAGGAGGAATTCAAACTTCCCGTTCCAGATGTGAAACCTCAAACAGAAACCCCCTTGGTGAGAGATGTTGCCGTATTCATTGCTGTTACATAACACAAGCCACAGATGCCAAAAAACCCGCCATTAATTCATCCTCAGTGTGCCTACTGGAAACATTGTTCTCATGGTTTGTACGGTGTCGTGTACTTTATTCTCTCTTCTGTCTGTTTTCACAGTTTGGGCAGCACATGTTGAAACAAACTGGAAAAAGGAAGATACTCTGAACTCGGGGTCCAGAGGTACCGTGGACACTTTGAAGTGCCTTATCAAGCTTCTAATATCGGCTGTCTCTCCGTGGAAGGACGAGGGATTCTGCCTGGACTAGACATCAGTCTGCTCCAGGTATCTGTCATCTCATAGTGTTGCATCCAGTGATCATCTTGACCATCTGTTTTTGCACTTTTATAACTTATATTAGCTTTCTGTTTTACAAACATGATTTATTTTGTTTTACTGAATGTGTTTTTGTTTTTGTTTTGAGTAGTCTAAATTTCTGCTTATCACAGGGTTGAGTGAAAGTATCGAAGCGCATGTTTCAACAACACTACAGAATCGTTAAATGTTATTGGTTTTATTATTCAATCATTACTTAGGTTTTCTGTTAAAACATATTGCACATAACATAGTTGGTTATTCCCATTTTTAAGGGAAAGCTGAAGAGTTCTTCTACCACAGAAGAAACGGAGCACTTTCTTACTTGTGGAATATTGTGCTGTTTTCTTTATATTTGTTGTAGACTAATTTATGATTGGGATCCTTATATTTATGTTGTTTAAGTAAATAATTAAGATTTTAACACAGGTAATTATGTCCTAGATTTGTCCGTTTTAGGTGGGGTTTTGTACTTTATTATGTGGAGCCTAAGTAAGTTGTGTCCCAATTGCCAGTCTTGCCAGGGCTTGTATGTCTTTTGCTGGTCAAATATGTATCCCAGTTTTAGTTGATATTATTTATCTCTTTACTACAATTCATGTTTAAGAGCCAAAGACATTCCAGTGAGATTCTGCCGTTCACTGCCCAACATTACCTTTCCACATTCCTTTTCCAATTTAGGATGTTCAAATAGCGAGGGAAAACAGATAACTGTTCAGCAAAGTTCATATTTCTAGGTTAATGACGGTACAGGTGATATCTGTTGCTTTATCAGTACCATGGTTGATAAGATTAGCTCTTTATCTCAAATCACTTTCCCAGAACTTAAGCAGCTGAACAGAAATGCTGCATTGTTGTAGCTCACTCTGTATTCACAACATATTTTAGTCATGGGTCCTAAGGCACCCACTGTTCAGTATCGGAAAGTTATAAATTATGCTTTTGTGCCAGTAATCACATTTTCATGCCTCAGTTTGAAAATCTGTCACAGACCAAACAGACTCCTCTGGGCTAATGTTTGGTTTTATAGGCAGTATTATGTTCAAAGGGACTGATTGCACACAGTTTCCAATTCTGTTCACTATGCCAGTGTAGTTGCTGCTTCAAGACAACTGTACTAGTATAACTTTTTTTTTTTTTTAGAGGAAAAGGTGGACTGGGTGTGTCAGTAGTAATTAAGTGATTTAAATGTACTATTCAAGATTTGAGAAAAGTTGTCTTCCATAAAAATAACTTGAATTGTGGAATTTCTAAATAAAAGTTTGTGGTCTGCCTGATTCTGACTTGTTCTATTGACGTCATGGTTGAGTTTTAACTTAATGAAAGTCGCCTGCCTTCATATTAAACAGTTAGAGTCAGCCAAAGATGACAGAAAAATTGCCCCAGAGATTAACGTTTAGTAACGTAAAGTTTAACTTGATCATTGATTTATAATTAACATTTCTGCTATTGTATTAGGGATCATATATAGGATTATTATGCTTTAACTGTGTGACAGTCAAAGAAACATTTGTCAACAACAGGTTTTTATTATTCAAATTGTAACTGCAACAGGCATGTATCAAAAAGGTCAATACAGCAAAGCCTTTACAAAATCTGGCTCGACACTTAAGTCTTCCCAAAAATGGCTGTCGCAACAAATTGTAAACAGTTTTGTCAACAGTCTTACAGCACTTACAGCAAAATACAAATCAGCTAAAGTAAGAAAAGCACCTGTTATCTTTCAAAATGTTTAAACACAAACACAATTTGTGCCACTATACAGAATCAAAGTAGACAAACCAAACACAAAGAAATGGAATGTTCAAAGTCACTCGACCATTTTTGTTTCCGTACAAAAAAAGGACAGCTGGAGTTGTTCCTCACAACAAAAAGGCAAAGGGATTGGACAGTGCATTCAAAGACAAGCACACCATGCACTTGATGGGAACAGGAGCTGGTTTGGTCACTTAGCATAGTTGTGCATAGTTATAAGGCATCAATCGAGCAGTCCTTTAGGTTGCATGTGGCTGAGAGAGACATTCTGTGGAGAGGGAGAGTCTCCTTCAGTAGATCCTAGCCGAGAAAAAAAAAAACAACCTTGCATCACCCGCAGTCACCTCCTCCCCCCCTCTCCCTCTTGATAAGAGACTGGCCTGTCTCACCCTGAGCGAGTCGAGTTGCGTGGAGTGGACTACCAGGTGAGATGCATGTGCAGTGAGTAACTGATCTCCAGTCTGGGAGGGAAGCTACCCCGAGTTCAACCAGCACTGGAAGAGTCGGAAACGTCATCAGAAAAAAGGACTAATTTCTACAATACCTTCACAGGGTCTCTTGGAGATGTCATGGAGACGAAGCTGCACATCCAACACCACTGTTATTTGGGAGTGCAAGAACACATTGTAGCACAGGTGGAGTTACTTATGGCATCTGGTGTGTTTGAGTAAGGTTCTGCTCATGGCTTCAACAGTGGGATGACAGTTCAAACGAGTGGTTCTTCACATCTGTGCTTCCGAAGGCAAACCGTGGAGCCGACATGATTCACTTTATTTCAAGGGAAAGAAACAACGAACGAGGAGAGATGCGTAAACAGTCTTCGTAGAGGCAGCAAAAGGACTGGGCTTGTCACATTTTTTTTGTTTTGTTTTTACATGAGGAAGAATCTTCAATACAAACGCAACACGGCTTTACTTTAAAGTCTTAGGAGGGTCTCGTGTCGGAATACTCCAGTTGTCTCAGTTAATTCAGTTCAGATCATTCTTTAAATCTTTGTTTTCAAATGGCACTTCAAAATACCAGAAAAATGTCTTCTTTAGTTCTTATACTGCTTTCCCCTTAAGGTTCACCAACACAAAAAGTGGTACGTTCAGTCAGTAATGCCAAAACTACAGTGGACAAATAAATAAAAAGAAAATAAAAGAAAATACAGCAGTAGCCAAATGAGGTATCTATGTATTGCTCTATGCCAAAAAAGAGGAATTAAAAATTAAATAAATTAAATAAAATCAGTGGTTTATCAAGATGGGAGGCAAAAGCAACAAAACATAAACAAGGTGTTAGGATCAGGTGGGGCAGCGGCAGGGGGCAGCAGGCCATCGCATGCCCCACCTGGCCCCCAGTGTGTGGTGAGGCCCTGAGGCCAGGGTCAGGGGTCAGGTGGTTGAGGTGAAAGGGCCCACGAGGAGTGTCAGGATTTTCTGCTTCCCTGAGGTATTTCTTTGGAGCTGGTTCCTCCTGCAGTTGTGGCGGTGTTGCCGTCTGTCCGTGCAGCATCGTCCTCTGCTTCGGCGCCGGCTGTGCTGGGCTCCGCCTCTTCAGAGACGGAGGTTTGTTCCTGCTGCAGCCCGCCCCAGCTGGCCTTGTTCAGCCCCATGTGGCCCAGCATGGTCTGGGACAGACGTGTGTCGGAGAAACGGGCCCACTCTGCAAACAGCGGCTCCGCAACGTACGTCATGAAGCCTGAAGGTGGAGAAGAGGCAGCAGACGCAGATTAGGGCTAAAAGATTAGAAGCGAGTTATAAGTGAAAGCTGAATGCAACACAGCTACTTACCTATTTGAATGTTGCCAACTGTGTTGGCCTCTCTGTCACAAAGTGGGCTGACTTCAAGTTTGTGCTTCTTCTCAATTTCTCCTAAAAGAACATTACAAAATATAATATATGAGCAATTATTATCATTGGTTCTACTAATACAATTACTTGGTTATCGAGAATATACACAGAAAGGACAAAAGAAGGAACGGTTATGGCACTAAAAAGAGAAAAACAAACAAGTGAAGGGGAATGACAAACAATATAACAGCACGCAGCAGAAAAAAAGAGAACCTTGTTGGAAGAACTCCTCGGTCACTTTCTCACTCCACTGTTTGCTCAGCTCCCAGGGTCTGCAGGGGTTACAGATGTCTGCACACTTCAAAGCCATCTGTAAGGATGGGAACAAAAACAAAATAAGAGCTCACAGTTTTCCCTGAGCTGTTGAAGTTGTGTGTTTATGACGGAAGATGTAACCAACCTGCAGGATGAAGTGACGGTGGCTGGCATTACTCATGCACATGTTCTCCTGGTCCAGGTGCAAGCGAAACCTAGATAGGTACTCATTCTGTCTGCTGATGTCCGTGGCCAGGATTAAGGAGCCCAACTCCCTCTCCATATTCAGGCTAAGGGGGTTGGAAAGACAAAATGATCGTTGATGGTGGCAGAGAAGTCTTTTTAAATAACTTAACTTTCTGTGGTAACACATAGAACCTTTCAGTGGGTGTTATCTAGTGTTGTGTGTGCAGTTAGCATCATTTCAGCGTAAGACTGACCTGTCCTCAGCAGGCAGATGAGAGAACAGCCCAGTCTCTCTGAGAAGGCCCACTGCCGACTTCCAGTGGTGGTTTTCCAGAACTGAGGTATTCTGAAGATTAAAAAAGGAAAAATGTGCATACACATTAATTGAATAAATCATGTGACGTCTTCTACTACGGTACATTCATGAGTAAGATCTGGCAGAGTGGATGTTACGTAGTTTTACCCTATAGAGTGTAGCTAGATAGTGGTCAGTCTTGATGAGGAAAGGCTGGTTGACCCCAGGATGGTCCAGGTCATGTGTGGCTGCTGCTAGGAGGCCCAGTAGGATGTCACAGGAGGTCAGAGACTTGGCAAGCTGCACTCACAAGAATAATATGGCACAAAGATTATGATGATTCATTATTAAAATTTCACTGAAACACTTTTAGATCTTGAAATTGTAATAATCAACTGCGTTAAAGGTTTCTTGAGCCAACGAGAACCAAAATGTGTTGTTTGCATGTCTCACCAGGGGTTCCCGCATATAGCAGTACATGGCCTGTGTGACATCTGCAGCGTGAACAGCGTTGTGGTAGGGGTTGTCGCTGTGGTAGTCCTCCTGGACCATGACCAGGAACCTCCAGAGTTTGACCATGTCCAGCTGGAAGAGCTCCACCAGGCCATACTGGTTCAGCAGGTGGAAGGTCAGGGTGATCAGGCTGTTTCCTGAACAAGAAAGACAAACAGAGTGAGCACTCTGCTTTCGCTTTTCACTTGCATTAAAAAGGAGAAACTGCACTTTTAGACAGTGTTACGTTAGAAAACATTATTAATCTGTTTTCTCTTTTGCCATTTATTTTATTGTGGAACTTTTTCTGAACCTGCCTCGACTACCACTTCTTCACTTTCTCCTCAACTTCAAATTCTATAATTGTGTCTTGTGAAAGCACTGCGGCCGTTATTTCTTGCCATTCCCTTTCCTAGCTCTTGCTATTGAAGTACACAGTATGCGTCAAAGCAGGTGAATGGAGAGAACATATAAAAATCAAGAACATATTTTTATAATAAGTCATGCCCCTTGTTCATAATCACATATCCTGAGCCTGGACCACATTCTTATCTACTGAGGTTACTGTCACTTCAGAAATATGTATTCATTTCAATATGCTTATGCTTAATATGTTATGACAATAAAATAGACCCAAAGGAGCATGAAAGGTTTTTTCCCCTATAAGAAAATAATAAAATAAAATAAAATTCAGTGATTCAATTATAGAGTTAATCTTCATACAGTGAATCCTATGTGTATCCAATAGATGGCACCATAATAACACATTGAATCTAAGGCCGGTTTAATACTGGATTCTCCTGTCAGCGCTGCATTACTGTTGCTATGACTTTTAAAACACCTTCTGACCATTATTTCATATTTTACCTACCGTTCGTCAACCTATCAAAGAGGAAAATGTCAAAATTCCAGTTCCCGACTTTTTCCAGCATGCACTACAAGAGAGAGAAAAGAGAAGCATAGAATTAGTGATGTGAAGTTTGAACAAAGCAAATTATGTGCTACTTCTGCAAGCCTCAATATGGTATTGTTATAATGAAGGTAGGTGTCATACTCTGGCCTGTCCAGTGTAGTCTTCATCCAGGATGTGGAGGGGGATCTGCTGGGGGACTCCACGCAAAAGACGGGACGAGTGCAGGTACCTCTGGAAGCTGAGCAGCCTGTGGACCCTCCTCTCAGGAGCAGAGCTGCCTGATGTGGACCCACGGCCCAGTCGTGCTGCACACACAAACACAGAGAGACAAATTGACACAAGATGTAATATGTACAATATGTTATTGATACAACAGTGTTTTTGGTAAATGTTTATTCTACAAGCTCATTAGACTCGGAGAATCATTCGGGTTGCAGAAACTCGGTGGGGATCTGACACCATCACAGAGATATACAAACAGCCACTGCTGACACAGCCGCCCACTCGTAAGCCTTTCGTCTGGGATCACACAGCAGACATGCTTTG